CTCTCTCTCTCTCTCTCTCTCTCTCTCTCTCTCTCTCTCTCTCTCTCTCTCTCTCTCTCTCTCTCTCTCTCTCTCTCTCTCTCTCTCTCTCTCTCTCTCTCTCTCTCTCTCTCACTCGCTCTTTGTATATATATAATTATATATATATATATATGTTTGTGTGTGTGTGCGTGCGTGCGTGCGTGCGTGCGTGCGTGCGTGCGTGCGTGCGTGCGTGCATGCATGCGTGCGTGCGCGCGCGTGTGTGTGTGTGTGTGTGTGTGTGTGCGCGCGAGCATGAACGTCGGGAACATACCTAAAAATGCTGGACCAAGGAGGGATGCAAGTCCAGCAAACCAGAGCCTTGCGGCTAAAGCGTCTTTGTAGAGGTCCACACCAGACAGGTCGACGAGTACAATAAATGACGTGGGTACGTAGCCCCCGGTAGCTACTCCCAAGATGGCGCTGTTTACAACTAGCAGCTCCATACTATGCATCAATGGGTTGATTATTACAAGCACTCCGATAAAAAATACAAATATTGTTAGACCCGCCAGCCTGCGAGTGGGTTTGCGCAAGAAGCTGATGTCCCACATGGCGCACCATGGAAGTCGGGAGATGGTCTCAGAAAGACCAATGACTGACACCAGAGTAGCGCCACTGAAGTCATCACTGTCTGCTAGTTCCTGACCCCGCGTGGGCAGCAGAACAAAAACGGAGATGTACGCGACTTGTACGAAAAATAGTGTTAAACAATAGTGTACTATACGCGAATCTGTGAAGATGCGTTTATCTATTATGGGTTTGCTATTTTTAATTGAGTCTCGCATCCTGGCGAACCATGTGCGTGGTGTTGTAGCTGGTGTGGTCATTTCAACGTTGTTGTCAGAAGATTTGAAAGTGGAGTCCAACGGAGGTCTCTTCTTAAAATTCCTGAATAAACTTCCTGCGACCATAAGATTAAATGTTATCGCACCGCAGATGAGAAAAGTTCTTTGGTACAAGAATTCCTCTAGCAGGTAACCAATGAGGATCGGCCAAACAAGTGTGCCTACTCCGGTTCCTAGGAGAACGATGCCGATTGCTACAGATCTTTTCTTATCGAAATGATCCGCAACTGACGATTGCGATGGGATCATGATCAACGCTGATCCTAGTCCTGCAAATGACATGTGGGTCTGTAATACTTGTGACATGAAGGACGATGATTAATGAATTATCTCAGAAATCTGTGAGGAAACTATATGAGCAAGTGGAACGTCGATGTGATTTATTTACGTTTACGAGTGCACGCATATATACACGACGAAGTGGTAATCGTGTGAGTGTGCAAGTGTAAGTAAATACCACGCGCCCACTGATGAAAACATAGAGAAATATAAACTAGTAATATATAAACACGGTGTCTTTAATGGCGAAACTAGCTTATAATCATATGCATCATCATCAGGCGGCAGGAAATCAACTACAGGTTGTATCGTGATATATATACAGGGCCGTACGCAGCAGGGAGCAGCAGGGGCAGTTGCCCCCCTAGAGATTATCAGAGTATGCTTTTTAATGGGACAAATACTGTACACTTTTAGAAATAAAATAGAAATGTGACAAAAGGTTATCTTAAATCATCAAAAAAATATTACTTTAAATATAGAAATGTGAAATTGCGAAACTTTAGGGCACAGGGGCATGGGAAGTACCTTTGCCCCCCTACAGAAAATTTCCTGCGTACGGCCTTGTATATATATATATATATCAAGAGCTAATAATACCTATATATATATATACCTATATACCTATATATAAAAAAGAGAGAGAGTGTATGTGTGTGTGTGTGTGCGTGTGTG